GGAGGGGTGGCCACCACAGAAGCCCCTCCTTGGAAATGGCAGTGTAGGGGACAGCCCAAGAGAGGACCCCAGTCACATCCCTACCCACAAGGAAGAAGCCAATTAGCCCTACTGTGCGCTGGGTCCTGAAATTGAAAATATGCACTTGAGGGAGAGACCCTCCTAGGTCACTGAGTGACTTGATGTGTCCCCAACTCCATCAGTAGGTTATTGTCCTGTGTCAGCATCAAATCCTGATGGTATAGTCTGCTGCATCCATGGATTTCTACTCAAATGTGCACATGAACCCACACATAGCCATACCCACATCTATTCAATAGCCTGATGCCTACACACACACACACACACACACACACACACACGCGCACCTATTGCTCTCAGGACATAGACAAACAAAACCACATGATATTACGTTAGGCCCTACAGAAAATCATGCAGTAAAAACTCAGTGGCTGGGAAGATAACAGAGTGGATAAAGGCAATTTTGCACAAGCCTGAGGATCTGAGTTCAAATGCCCACACCACCTAACTTAGGAAGTGCTGTGTATAGACCAGTAACCCTGGCACTATGGGGACAGAGACAGGAGAATCTCTGTGGCCTGCTGGATGTCAGCCAAGCTCCTCATTCACAGAGAGACCTGCCTGTGAGGGAGAAAGTGGCAAAGCATACAGGAAGACACCCAGTGTCCTCTCTTGTGTACAAATACATGTGTATAACTTCTCATGAACCCACATATGCAATACATACACAAAATAGGACAGAGACTCTGTAAGCACAGGATACATGATGTACAAATGCAGCAGACTGCTCCACAGTAAATCTGACACAAGCAGCCGTGTACACACATGACAAGTCCTGTGCAAAAGACACCGGACACCAGAGCATGGTTGGTCATTATTAGATGACTGTGCAGTTCATCTAATAATGTGTGTGTGTGTGTGTGTGTGTGCATGACCACAGTGAGCTGTTTCCTCCCACTACTGTGTCCAGGCCTGTGAGGAAGGCACTGTATTAGGACCAGTTGGGGGCAGGGATTTTCCAGGCCCACATGGTGTATGCAGTCCTGAGGTGTGGTGGGGCACATGGATGTATGGGGAGTGAAGCTTGCTGTGGTAAAACGCTGCCCTGTTTACTGAACCCCATAGCCAGTGAGCTTGTCACCCCAGAGAGACCCAAGAACCTCAGAGAAGAGCTGGGGTATTAAAATGAATACAATATCCTTTACAGGTGATGTCAGCATCTACAACAAGCCTGACCCCCAAATCTACAGCAGCCTCATCAGGGAGTGCACCTCCCTGGGGCTGGAGGGTGAGTTCTACACCAGCTTCACAGAGCTCCAGGGAAACTTCCTGAAGAATCGTCCACCCAAGCTGAAGAATCTCATCCGCCTAGTCAAGCACTGGTACCAACTGGTATGGCGTCTGGCCCAGCCACTGTGTTTCCTGTTTACACACGGGGTGGATACAGGGCCAGAGAAAAGCAGGACTATTCTAGTTTGCTTCCTATTGACACGATATCTTTATCACATGACCAAAAGCCTCGTGAGAAGGAAAGGTCTTATTAGGTTGCATATCCCAGTCACAGTCCGTCACTGAGGGAAGTCAGGGCAGTAACTGAAGCGGAGACCATAGAGGAATCCTGCTCACTGGTTTGCCCTCCATGGGTCACTCAGTTGCATTTATATACAACCCAGGGTCACCTGCCCAGTAATGGCATGAGTCACAGTGGGCTGGCCCTGCTCATTAATCTCTGATCAAGGAAATGCTCCACAGGCCAGTCAGATCGAGGCATTTTCTCATTTGTGAGTCCAAGATCTCAAGATGACTCCAGCTTATGTCAGGTTTTCAAAAAGAAAAAAAAAATGTAGCACAGAGGCAAGAAATTAGAAAATGGAGAAGGAAAAGAGGGGAGAGAGAAGCAGAGGGGGTATTGAGAGAAGAGAAGGTAAAGGGAGACAGCAAGGGCAGGTGAAACTGTAGGAGGGAGAAGGAAGGGGAGGGCGGGGACCTGAGACGAAGGAGGACTTTCTGCAGTTGTTCCAATTGATTTCTCCCAGTCCACTTTCCAACCAGCTAACTCTCTCTTCAGCCATGTCTAGTTCACTGTTCCCTGGATCCTGCTTCAAGTGTCTTTGAATATCTTTTCCTCTTTGACAAACCCTTTATGTCACATTCTCTGGTTTTTATTTTCCTACCATTTCAAACTATTAGCTCTGTTAGCAGGTGACTTCTCATTATTTTCTGGGCCTTTTAAAACGTGTGTATTGTTTGTGTGAGTGCCTGTATGGAAGTGTGCCTCTGTGTGCATGAGCATGTGGAGGCCAAAGAGCGATGCCAGGTCCCCAGTCACCCTCCACCTTGTATATTCAGGCAGGGTCTCACACTTGAACCATTCTGGACAATACCATAGTCCTGGATCGGACCCCCGTGATGACCCCCTGAAGCTGGGATTATGAGTCAGTTTCCTCATGATCCTGACACTCATGTTGGGGACCTGAACTCCCTGGCTTGCCTAGGGACAGCTTACCCCCTGGGCCATCTCGCTAGCCCCTCCCCAGTTATCTCAGAGCCTGTGATGAAACCTTCAAGAGTGAGCATCATTGCTCTCCCACCCCCACCCTCACTCCCTGGATGTCACTCAAGTGTCATGATTCCTCCTGTGACTACTGGTAACTGCTCAATCTTTGTGGACCACACAGTCTCCATCTCAACCACTCAGCCCTAGGCAAACCTAGGAGAACACATAGACTGAATCCACATGAATGGGTGTGGCTGTGTGCCAGTGAAGTTGCAATGACATCAAGTGGCAGCTTATTGAGCCCATGAGAAGTGACCCCCACACATCAGCTGACAGCCCCATTTTTCTCACTGCCTTTCTCTTCTCAGTGTAAGGAGAAACTGGGAGAGCCACTGCCCCTGCAATATGCCCTGGAGCTGCTCACCCTCTACGCCTGGGAACGTGGGAGTAGAGTCACTGAGTTCAACACAGCCCAGGGCTTCCGGACAGTCTTGGAACTGGTCACCAAGTACAAGCAGCTTCGAATCTACTGGACAGTGTATTATGACTTTCAAGACCAGGAGGTCTCCAATTACCTGCACAGACAGCTCACCGGAGCCAGGTAGCCTGTCCCCTCATGGAAAGGTATGGAAAGGTAGAGGTGGGAGCTCAGTGTCAATGGGACACCTCTTGTCCTGTCACTGTGCTGGGCACTGTCCTGCTGTCAGCTGATTGACATGAGGACTGCAGCCCTGGGAGGCAGGGGTGGGCTCTCCTGTCTGCAGATGAGGAGACCAAGGCTCTGACCTTGTCCAGACCCAAACAGCAGAGGGAGGGGCCACATGGAGCGAGCAGGATCTGATGTTCCTGAAGTGATGTAGGTGTTCTGTTTTGTTAGGATGAATTTTGGCTTGCAGCAGTAGGGGAGCCAGTTTTGATTTACAAAAGGTCTTTTGTATTGATATTCAAGTGATAACTTGGCAAGTCAGTTCCCACATACCATAACTTCTTCTGTGAGGCTCCCTGAAAGAAGGAATGCCAAAGCAATTCTGGGGACCTCTTGGTTTTCCAAGTTATTTTTTTCCACAAGCAAGTGTTGCAGAGGCTTTGAACCCTTCTAGAAGAACTCAGGTAAGATTCAAACACTTCAAACAAAAGGTAACATCACAAATGACACTTCTAAGCCCAGGTACTTGTGAATTCAAGCCATCTGCAATGCTCTTCGGGATCTCAGGCTACACAGCTACACAGTAACAGAAGTCATAAGGCCTGGGGGGCTGTGAAAACTATAGTAGATGTGTCATGTGAGGTGCTGACATGCTTGGATCCTGTGTTGTGGTCAGTTTTCATACCCCACCCTTTCAAACTGGCTGGTTCAACACTCCCCATCTCACAGATCAGAGAGGCTGAGGAATCTGTCCCAGGACACACAGATACTAAAGAACAGAGGATTCAAGCCCAGGCCTTCCAGGTCATGGGCAAACATCCCTCCAGGCTTGCTCTATGCTAAGGGGCAGGGACTCAGGACAAACTTTGGATAGTGGTACTCTGCTGGGCTCCACCATTGTCCCTGGGCAGTGGTACCTGGGGCACTGGTCAGCTGGTGACTTCCCTCTCTGAATGTTGCTCTGCAGGCCTGTGATCCTGGACCCAGCTGACCCAACAAGGAATGTGGCTGGTTCTAATCCAGAGGGCTGGTGTAGGCTGGAAGGAGAGGCTACAGCCTGGCTGCAATACCCATGCGTTAAAAACTGGGATAGTTCTCGAGTGCCACCCTGGGATGTGCCGGTGAGACTTTGTCATCATCCTGTCCCCTTGCACACAGCTTTGTCACTTCATCTATTACAAGAGTATTCAAACAAAAATGTGGTCTTTCCAAAGGTGCCCAGGACTGTAGGTTGTCCTGCAGCACTGCTCACTTTACAGTCATTGTGGCCTCAGATTGGCACAACACCCCTGTAGAGCTCCTGTCACTCAGCATCCTAAGGAATGACAGTCTCTGCCCTGAGTGTCTGCTTTGTGTTCAGGCTTTGTCCTGTGTTCTTTATCATACAGTAGCTCACTGGAGCCTCACACATGCTCATCCTGTGTTCGTTATCATACAATGTCTCACTGGACCTTCACACATGCTCATCCTGTGTTCTTATCATACAGACTCACAGGACCTTCACTAGGGCTCTACAAGGTAAACTTAATAACATCCGTCTCTCTCTGATGAGACAAGAGGCTCAGACTGGGGATATGGCTCAGTCAATAAAACTCTTGCCACATAAGTAAGCATAAGGAGCCTGATATCATCTCCAGAAGCAGGTAAATAAGCCACACAAGGAGACGTGCACTTGCCATTCCAAAGCATGGACAGCAAGAGCCCTGTAATGGCTGGTGAGGGAGCATAGCCTACTTGTTGAGTTCCAATGCAGTGCAACTCAAAATGCTAAGGTGGACTACACTTGAGTTGTATAGTGTTCTCAGTTGATTGCACACACACAAACATACACACACATACATACATAAATATATATGCACATGCAAGTACAAATGTACACAGAACCACACACACACACACATAAGCGCAGAAGCCAGAAGGATAAGAAAGCTGAAGCCACTGGCAAGGGATGCTTGGCTAAGGAGAGGAGGGGCTGGGATTCCCATGGGTTCTAAAACCAGTACTCAGGTCCAGGAAGCAACCTATCTTTCCTGTCTCATCATTATGTGGCCAACAGGACTCAGGGAGACTGTGTCACAGCCACAGAAACACAGGAGGGACCTTCACTTGGATCTTTCCTCAACTGGGGCAGGGAACTTCTGATGCTTGGGAACTGATGATGTCATGTGTGGACTCAGGATGGCACTTAGTATGGATGCAGGGATGTGGAAGGTCAGGAAGGAAGGAAGAGGGGAGGGAGGCAGTGTGGCTGTAGTGGCCTTTAGGGCTGTCCTGCAGCAGACAGGTGGCTAGGCTATCCTTCCCACTTGCCATATCTGTTACTGAATGAGGGGACCTCAGATGTGGCTACATGTACCCTCAATGGGCTAAGCCATAATGATGTCCTGATGGTCATCTCCCCAACATGAGGATGTGCTGTCACTTCTTCTGAGGGACTCCAGTTAGCCAGTCATGGTGCTCACCCTCAGACATGATTCTGGGTTTTCCATTAATACATTACATACAACCAAACAGCAGATTAGCTTTTCTTCTTGGGTTTTTTTTCTGTTTCTTTTTTGGGGGGCTTCTGCTATGCAGCCCACGTTGCCATGGAGCTTGCCATTCACTTACCTTAGTGCAGAGATGACTGTAGTATAGGCCTGATGTGCCCTGCCTTCTCTCCATCCCCAGGTGGACAAAAACTGAGCATGTGTTCTCCTACCCAGAAGACTCCAGAATGAGCAAATGTGATCCTCTGCTGCAGGCCCTTGCCCAAGGCCCTGGTGAGAGAGTGTCCAACCTGGGGTCAGACTCCAGACTCCTGACCCCTGCCCACCCACCCTTCCATCCTGCTCCATCACAGACAGCCTTCTTCACTGTCTGCTTCATCCATGTTATCCTCTGACAGTGTTCTCAGGGGACAAGAGATTCAGAAGGGAGGAGAGAACCCAAGCTTGACTTCCATCTTGTATCTGTTGGAGGGTTCTGTCCAATGTCTGATCAACATCAATAAACCACAGCAGATGCCATGAGGTGTGTGTGAATTCTGAGGGACAGGGCCATAGAAATATAGGTGTGTGTGTGTGTGTGTGTGTGTGTGTGTGTGTGTGTGTGTGTGTGTGTGTGTGTGTGTGTGTGTGTGTGTGTGTGTTTAAAATGTTTGTGTGTGTGTGTGTGTGTGTGTGTGTGTGTGTGTGCATGAGTGTGCATGAGTGTGTGTGTTTCAACAAATGCATTTGTTGAGCACATACTATATGCTCCATGTAGGTCCAGGAACTGAGCACTCAGCAACAGATAGAGCAGAACTAAACCGCTATAGCTTTGATGCCAGGTGGCTTGGGATCCCTCTAGGTCTCTTTTTACACATAAGCCTGCGACAGGAATCCTTGGTTCCTTCTGTCCCCAAGACAAGATTCTAGACCTGCCCCATCTGACACAGGCCAAGCTGTACATGGTGAGAGGCATTGGGAATGTGATCAGTGTACATGAAGATGAACTGTGGCTACAACATGCAGGCTGGGGTTTGAGGAAATGCATGACAAAAATATGCATTGAATTTGTGACACTGGTGGTCTCAAAAAAACAAACATGGTTGTCTGTAGCAATGACAAGCTTTTGGATAAACTGAATTAAATCACAGTGAGTGTCCACTTCCTTTTTCTCTTTCTAAGACAAGTTCTCATTATATGGCATAGGCTGGCTTGGAACTCGCAGGCATCCCTCTGCCTTAATCTTCTGAGTTCTGGAATCACACACATACCCACCACCCACCACACAGAGACATAATGGTTCCATAGTTCAGTGTTGTGAACCAGTGGCTTCATTTTCAGGCTCAAAAGACATGGGTGTGTGCTCACCTCTTGGGCCCTGTTTTAAGTGTTCAGGTATTGCACAGGGCCACTGCTCCCAAAGCCTAATCCTGTCCCCAGTGCCCACTCTCTTAATAACTGGTGGTGGGGGATGTCCTTCCAGTCCTCTTTCAGTTCTAACTCTAGTGGCCTTGAGAACAAGGAGCCCCAATGTCCTGGAGTGTGAGGAGACACATGTCTCCTAGACCTCAGCACACATCACACCCTGCCTTGTGCTCTATTGGAGCATTTGGTGGATTTGATGATGCTGGTCTATGATTCCAGTCTTGCCCCTTCTGAAATATCTCCAAATAGACAGAGATTATTTGAATAACAATGCCCGTGGGTTTCCCATATCTCTTGCCAAGCTGAGAAAATCTATCATGTCAGCTCTCATGTACCCCACACTAAAGAGAGTCTGCATGTAACATGTAATGGCCACATCTCATTTCTCTGTAATGGAATGACCTCTTTATGGACCTTTGAGAACCTCCTCAATGATAAAGACTTTGGAGACTAACAGCAGGCTACAGGAGAGTAATGAGCAGCCTAAGGGAGGAGCCACAAGGTGGCAGGATCTGGTTTCCATGACAACAGTGAGGTAGATGGAGAAAGATGTCTACTGTTGACAGTTTCATACCATTGTGTCTGACTGCTATGTTGTTCAGTGTCATGCTTACTCCTGACTGGACCTGCCCAAGAGCCCTTTGCCCCTAAGCATGGTGTTCATCCCTGCTCTTCCTGTGGGTGCCATGTGGGTTCTAACTTACCATCCACCCTGGCCAGGGAAGTGGCAGGGCTTCCAAGCCCAGTCTTCAGTTTTGACCTTCTGCCCAAGATGGAGTGCTGTCTTGTATTATTCAGGATTCACTAAAGTAACAGAACTATTCATTATAAAATAAATCTCTATGTATACAGAAAAGGGATTTATTAGAATGACTTATAGTCTGTAGTCCAGCTAATCCAACAATGGCTGGCTACTTATGGGTGTCCCAGAATCCAGAAGTTGTTCAGTTCTCAAGGCTGGGTGTCTCATCTGGTCTTCTGTATATTCTGGAATCCCAAAGAAGTAGGCTCTAATGCCAGTGGAGGGATAGATGTGCAAGCAAGGCAAAGGCAAGCAGGCAAAGTGCAAAAGCTTCCTTCTTTCATGTCCCTTATAGCAGCAGAAGGTGTGGTCCAGATTAGGGGTGTCTTCCTTCCTCAAGACCTACATTAAGCCTTGTTTCTTCCCACCTCAAGACCTGAATTAGAAGTGGATGTTCCTACTTCAAAATAAGCAAAAACAAAAAAATCCCTCACTAGTGTGCCCTCCATTTTCAAGTTTTAGTTAATTCGAATGTAGTAAAGTTGACAACCAAGAATAGCCATCACAAGGACAACCCTGTGAACTTGACACAATCATATCCCCTTATGTTCTGATTAACTTCCAAATAAAACAATATGCAGCTCATAATAATGCCTTAATATAACTATCCTATATGCAATTGCAAACACATTATAAATTTAGAATAGGTCACAATGTCACTAAAGGGACTTTCTTTTAGTATCTCAAAATTTAAAATGAAACTATTGATATTCTCTTAATTAATTGATGTGATGTCACATGACAAAGAAATTGAGAGAAAACAAAAATATCTGTACAAATGCATTCTTAACAAAATATCAAAGAACACTCAGATTAACTATAATCCTCATTTCTATAACTCACACAAACAGCCTCCTGGGCTCAGGAGGCTCCAGAGTTAGGGCATGTGCTCCTATGCAGGCCTTGACCAGAGAGGGCAGGCTGCTGCCCAAGGCTCCAGTGAGGTGGTATCCAACCTGGAGTCAGACTCCAGGCTCTTGAGCCCTGCCCACCCACCCTAAGCCTGTCCCATCACACAGTCTTCCTCACTGCCTCCATCATCTGCCTTATCCTGGACAGTGTTCTCTGGGGGACAAGAGATTCAGAAGGGAGGAGAGAACCCAAGCTTGACCTCCGTCTGTGCCTCTGTTGGAGGGTTCTGTCCAATGTCTGATCAACATTAAGAAACCACAGCAGATGCCATGAGGTGTGTGTGAATTCTGAGGGACAGGGACATAGAAGTACAGGTGTGTGTGTGTGTGTGTGTGTGTGTGTGTGTGTGGTGTATGGTTCAACAAATGCATTTATCGAGCACATACTACATGTTCCACATGGGTTCAGGCCCTGAGCACTCATCGGTGGACACAGAAGAGCCAGTCTGCTACAGCTATGATGCCACACAGTTTGGGATCCCGCCAGGTCTCTTAGTTTACATAAATCCAGGATGGGAATCCTTGGTTCCTTCTGTGTCCCCAAGACGAGATTCAAGACCTCCTCCATGTGACTCAGAAGCTGCTCTGCAGCTGCACATGATCAAGGGGACTCGGGAGTGTGAGCAGCACACATGAAGATGAACTGTGGCCGCAACATGCAGGCTGAGGCTGGAGGAAGAGCATGACGAATAAAAAGTGCACTGAATTTGTGACTCTGGTGATCACAAACACAGGAGCATGGTTGTCTGGGTGATGATGAATTTTGATAGACTGAAATAAATCACAGTGAGTATCCAATTCCTTTTTCTCTTTCTGAGACAAGATATCACGTGGCATAAGCCAACTTGGAACTCACAGGCCTCTCTCTGCCTGGCTCCTGAGTTCCAGAATCACACACACACACACACACACACACACACACACACACACACACAGAGAGAGAGAGAGAGAGAGAGAGAGAGAGAGAGAGAGAGGGAGACATAATTGTTCCATAGTTCAGTGTTGTGAACCAACGGCTCATTTGTCAGACCCAACGGTGACTATATGCAACCACCTCTTGTACCGTGCTTAGTTAAGAGTTCAAGGCATTGCACAGGGCCTCGGCTCCCAAAGCCTGCTCCTATCCCCAGTGCCCACTCTCTAAATAACTGTGTGTGTGTGTGTGTGTGTGTGTGTGTGTGTGTGTGTGTGTTTCACTTTGTTTTGGTGGTTTACATCTTACTAGGTTATTCTGTTTTCACTCAGTTCTCACTCAAGTGTCCCTGAGAACCAGGAGCCCCAGTGTCCCCGAGTGTGAGAAGACACTTGTCCCTAGACCTCAGCACACATCACACTCAGCTTAGTGCTCTGTCTGAGCCCCTCGTGGACCAGATGATGCTGGTCTACAATTCCAGTCTTGCCCCTTCTGAAATACCCCCAGATACACAGAGAAGGTTTGAATAAACAATGCCCAGGGTCCCCCATCTCTCTTGCCAAGCTGAGGGGACTCATTATGTGAGCCATTATGTACCCCACACTAAAGCAAGTCTGCATGTGACATGGGACAGCCACATCCCATGTCTCCATGACCGAATGACCCTCTTTATGGACCTTTGAGAGCCTTCTCAATGATGAAGACCATGTTGCTTAACAGCAGGCTACAGAGGATAAGTGATGAGCAGCCTAAGGGAGGAGCCCCAAGGTGACAGGATCAGGTTTCCATGACAACAGTAAGGCAGGATCATCTTTCAGATGGAGAAAGATGTCCACAGTTGACAGTTACATATCACTGTGTCTGACTGCCATGTTGTGCATGTCATGCTTGCTCATGACTGGTCCTGTCCAAGAGATCTTTGACCCCAAGCATGGTGTTCATCCCTGCTCTTCCTTGGGCGCCATGTTGGTTCTGACTTACCATCCACCCTGGCCAGGGAAGTGGCAGGGTTTCATGTCCAGTCTTCAACTTCAATCTTCTGCCCAAGGTCAGGTGCTTTCTTGTGAGATGTTTTACTCTTTTGGCTCTTTTGGGGGCCACCAGCCAGCTCCCAAAAATCACACAGAGACTTATTAGCTCCCAAATAAATCACACAGAAGCTTATTACTACTTACTAATATCAGCTTCAGCTTGACCTTTTTATAGCCAGCTTTTCTTAATTTAAGTTTTCCCACCCAACTTTTGCCTCTTGTCTTTTTCCTTTTCTTGTTTCCTGCATATCTTACTTCCAATCTCACTCTGTGGCTGGCTGGGTAGCTGGGTGGCAGGCCCCTAGCATCCTCTGCTTGTTCTCTTGCTCCTTCTTCTCTCTTCCCAGATTTCTCCTCCTATTAATTCTGTCTGCCTTCCTGCCCCACCTATCCTTTCTCCTGCCTTGCTATTGGCCGTTCAGATCTTTATTAGACCATCAGGTGTTTTAGA